AATCCCATCGTCTTTCTCCATCTTCCTTCTTCTCCGTCCTCTCCCTACCACCTAATTCCCACCGAATCATCATCTGTCTGTTCTCGTCTTTACCGAAGTCATATCCATAGCCGCCTACATCATCAAAGCCATTGCCTTCACTTTTTTATTCCTATTCTCTACTGCTTGACTTTGTTTTCTCAGATCTGACTCTGATGAAGATATAATTTTGGTGGGATTTATCTTTTTTGCTCCTTATTGATTGAGTAAGACTAGTTGAAATGGGATTTATCTTTCTGACTCTAATGAAGATATGAATTTTTATTTATTGCAATGGTGAAACCTGGTTTGTTGATTATTGGCTACCAATTTGCACAATCTATCATCGATTGACCAGCCAAAAGATAGGCAGTGGAGTGTATAGTGTAGATGCTGATGGTGTGTCAACTGGTATTGAACGGAAAACTGGAAGGTAGCAGGGGTTGGTGGCTGAGAGGCGGTGGTGGGGCGGCTATGGTGGAGAAGAAAACGTGAAGGAGGAGGAGGAAGGAGAAATGGTATTTTTTTAATGAAATTAATTTATTTTAAAAATAGGAAAATTAAAGTAATTAACAATTCATAATTAAACCATTCCAGCTATCAAACCAAACAACACTATTGGATTCATGAATCCAGGGTCATTCCAATCTAATCCGTCATCATTCAATTCCGTTTCCTGAATCCGTTTCCAAGTGACAAAACAAACGCCTCCTCATTAATCAAATTAGATGAAATAAACGCGTGAGTGAATAGTTTTCAAAATTTAGTGTAAATATACAATAGTATTCTAACTCTAGGGAAAAATAACACGCATACACAAAATGAACAATAGAATATAATCATTTTTACATAACAACCTATCACCCAACAAAGGAAAAAAAATAGAAGAAAGAAAAATCTAAACTTAAAGTTTCATAAGAAAAGAGTAAAAATAATGATGATTACTTTCAATGAATTTGGGATGAAAAGACCATCGAGACCAGAGGGTGAATACTTGTAAGAAAGGAAAAGATAAATGTGTCAAAACTTTTATTTTTGAGAACTATATATATCGACAAATTCAAAAAAATACGAAACTCTTTGTATTCTTTTTGAGTTATAGAATATTTTATTTAAATTCTCATTAATGAAATCTTAAAATTCAAAGACGAGAAGAATAAAAAACATAAGCTTGAAAAATGCTCAAGTTGAAATCATGGACTATCAAATTTCAACTAATAGCGAACATTAATTTGTTCTAAATTTTTTTAAAATAAAAACAAAGAGAAAATTAATGGAAGAAAATCAAAGATCAAGACATTAAAAGAATAGCAAATGTAACATAAAAAATCTTTTCATATTCTTGGGTTAAAAAGAAGGAAAAAAAACTCCTAGTTAATACTTAAAAGACTAAAATAACATTCATTTGTTCACAATCTTTAAAATAAAAATTAAAGAATAAATTAATGGAAGGAGATAAAAAGTCATAACATCAAAGGACCAAATGTAACACATAAAGTCTCTTCATTTTCTTAGTTAAAAGAGAGGAGGAAAAAAACTCCTAGTTAATAGTTAAAAAAAGACTACTAATAAATTAATTTGTTCATAAATAGTATTTAAAACAAAATAAGAGAGAAAATCAATAGAAGAAGATCAAAGATGATTACATTAAAGGAAAATCAAATATAATACATCCAATCTTTTCATTTTCTTGGTTTAAAAAGTGAAAAAAAGTCCTAGTTATTAATACTTAAAAAGAACTACCAAACTCAAATTTGTTCATAATCTTTAAAATAAAAATAAAATAGTAAATTAATAGAAAGAGATAAAAGGTCATAACATTAAATGACCAAATGTAACACATAAAGTCTCTTCATTTTCTTATTTAAAAAAGAGGGGGTGGGGAAAAGCTCTTACTTAATAATTAAAAAAGACTACTAATGAATTAATTTGTTCATATATAATCTTTAAAATAAAATTAAAATAGAAAATCAATGGAAGAAGATCAAAAGTCATAATATTAAAGGAATACCAAATGTAACACATACAATCTTTTCATTTTTTTTGGGTTTAAAAAAGTGAAAAAAGTCCTAATTATTATACTTAAAAAGGACTAACAAACTCAAATTTACATTAAGCAATTATGATATATGTTGATGAACCCGTTAGAAAGGAGTAAAGAAAAGTTGGTGCTACACATTGAGCCTTTTCCCGAGGCCTTTCAGCTTTAAATTACAGTACTCGATATGTTTTAAAATTATTATCCAATTTCAATTTTTATTTTATATCATTTAAATTAAAAATAAAAATCCATTTCGGCAGGAAGGGAGTGGCAATCAGAATCAGCCTGCAGTAAAGCGCAAATGGTACAAATAAATTATATGGACTCGAGAGCTTAGTTGTTTTCATGTGCCTGAATGAATTGGCCTTGCAAAAGTTAAGGCACACATGGTTTCTTTTTGAAAAGCTGTAGTGGCTTTGGGATTAAAATTGATCGTTAATTGGATATCATCATGAATGTATATATATATAAAAAAATATAAGGTGTACTTATGACCTAACACACCGAAACTCCTTTTGGGGTGGGTGTTAGATTCATGCATCTCTTTTGTCAATAAATACCGACGGACGATCACTCCCCTATAAACATAGTATCAATTCTTCCTTTATCAAACTTGCTAGTTCTAGCAGTGAAGCTCTTCAAGTTCCAAATATAGGTACACATGTAGTTCCATCTTAAAACCAATTAGTGATAAGGAGAATATCACATTGTTTATATATTGGTTTCAAGAATCTTCAACTACAAGGTTATATTCTCAACAGAAGCAATAATTAATTTAATTTCTTTTGTTTTCTTTTTCTTTTGTGTGTGTTTTTTCTTTTTGGGTTTGGGTTAAGCAGTTTTTCCAGCTGGTTTCATATTAATCAGAGAAGAAGAAAATGGATAAGAAGAAATCAGAGGAAGAATGTGAAAGCAGCAGCGAAAGTGTGATTTTACGATTTATACACATGGAGGCGGATGTAAAAGAAGTGCACATGAAGATGAAAAGGGACACTAGATTTGGGAAAGCCATGGCGGCTTATAGCGACATAATAGGGATCAAGCTGGAAGAGGTGAGGTTTATAGGCGGAGGAAGGAGGATTACTGAAAAGGATACTCTAAATGATATTGGCCTTCAAGATGGAGATGATGTCATTAATGTCGTCAATCCTCTCAAAGGCTGTGTTTGTGGCTGCGGCCTCGAACCTGGCCACCTTTTATTATCTTCTTAAGCCCTGAAGAGACCCTCGTCCATCGATCCAATCGTCAATGTTAATTCCTTGCCATGGTAAATTTGCTATTAGCCTCGTTATGGAGTTGGCTACTTTGTTTTTGTTTTTAATATTAAGCCGATGATCAGTGTTGTTTCGGAAGCTTCACTTCACATGTTTGTAGAATTTGCTTAATGTCTTTTCAAATCTATATTTCTAATAATCGTAGAGAGTGGGCTTTATGATTCACATCTCATTTTGTTTGGTTTGGGCGTGATAAAATATCAAAAAAATGTCTGTACATATATCAAAATTGTTTTTCGCATCTATATATGTTTGTCATCCTCCAAGGGATTTATCTATAGAAATGATGGCGGTTTATATGGAAATGGTCTAGTTTTCTTGTACTAAATTCAAGCCATGCTTGTTTTATCATGGTTTTGGTCTTTTGTTTGTATCTCTGTAGATGTGCGTGTGCGTGTCTTTTATGATTATCATAATCGAACCACCAATCGCATAAACACCGGATGTTAGTGTTTTACCCCAAAAAGATCTACCTGGTTCGATTGTGTATCAAAGCAAAACGGCATGATTTTATGTGATTGGGGGTTTTACTCCGAAACCACTAGTTAAGTAATTAAAATGATCAGTTTTTTGTTATGAAATTTGCTGAAATCAAAAAATGTTTGAAGGAAAAATTTTACTCCCTCCGTCCCATAATTATTGTCTAGTTTGAATTTTCATTTTTAGCCGAAATTGTACTAAAAGTGAAATCTGAAACTGGACAATAATTTTGGGACAGAGGGAATAATAAATAACAAATGTTATCAAACATTTCCTTACTAAACTTTAGACTTTAATAGTGGTATAAAATTGGCTAGTTTACGTTTAATAGATTCAATCATTCAAGTACCAACCTTCATAAAGCAACAAAAATAAGTTCAATTCGAATAGCTAAAGTGTGGCAACACAATTGATAGTACCGATTTAAAGTAGTAAAAAAAAAAAAAAACCCATTTACAGCACATTTCGCTTCTGCCTCTTCAAATTTTGATGACTAGGTACGTCGGTACGTAACTGTTCAAATTATCGAGAGGATAGCGTTAAGTAGCTCTAGATGGTTTTTAGTCTAACCTAAACGTCCTTCCAAATGGTGAACCGTGAACCACACTATATTAATTGTATATGTTGCACTTCCTTTTCGTCCTGTAGAACAATTTGTGCATTTAAGAAATACGGGAGAATTTAATTTTGAGGCCTATCATATGCAAGGTGAAGAAACGCTGCAGAATCAGTGTGACAAAAGTGATCATGCATCACAATTGCTTTCCTGGTGGTGGTGATGATGATACACAGGGAAAAGATAAGAATTCGGACAAAATAAAATATTCCCAAAATTATTGTACTTGTACAATTTGAGATTTCAGTTTTAGTACAATTTAAATTAGAAACGAAAACTCAAACTGGACAATAATTATGAGACGGAGAGAGTAGCAAGGAAGATGGTAATAGGACTGGTGATTCTCAAGAGAAATTAAGGAGGAAAAGATGAAAAAACATTCAGGATGACAATTGAAAATTAGACTTAGATTTAGGGATATTAGGCAGGCTCATCAATGATCATTATCACAATTCTATTGAATAATAATTGTGAAACTATTATGGGTTTTTGGTCATTTCATACTGTTGTACCGTTGGCCTCAAATTTATGGAGGTCAAGGGCTTTTTTTGTTATTTTGAGAAATATGGAGGGGGAATGAATCATTAGCACATAGTAGTAGTTCGCGGATATGATGTCCTTATCCCATAAATAAATGCATAAATAAGACCCACTTCTAACTTTTCCGCTGTCGCTCGACCTTTTTGGTTCCTCTGTCATCGCCGATAGTAACAGAGTCTTTTTTAGTGAAGGCTCTCATACTTCTTTGATCTTCAGGAGGTAAATAAGTCCTCCGTTTTGACCGATTGAGTTGTTTCGCTCAGGTTGCATTTGTAGTTGCATTCAGATCTACTTTGATTCTGGCACTTCCTGAAATTCTTGTTATCCACGAATCACTTTCCTTTTATATTTTGATTGTTTGAATTCTATTAAATTTTTGATTGTGTGTTGTTCAGAGACGAGCTGTGGATTTTGTGCATAAATGATTTGTTTAAGTCTTGTCTGATAATGTTACTGGCTTTGTACGTGGCTTGCATAAAATTAAAGGCAATTACATTTGTGCTTGCTGTTCCTGGGCTTGTGAATTTGGGCATACATTTTGACCTTAATTTATTTCATTGATGTGATGTTAACTGCTACTACCCTCTTTGTAATGGACCATGATTGACTTTGACAAAATGATGCTTTGGCGGGATTAAATTTTATCCTTTTGCAACTCAAAGTTTTAAAGAATGATTAGCATTATAAGGCGGCGCAAACACTATCCTTTGAGTTTGAGCATGCCATCATTAGTGTTTTGACGAGTTAATCCCTTCAAGATTTGATTAACCAAGATAAAAAAATTAGTTTTGAAAAATCTCTGTAATTGTGATAAACATGTGTAGCACCAGTGTTCATCTCAAATGATGGAGGAGGAGGAGGAGGATCACATGCCTCCTTCCCCCCTCCCAAACTCAAAGATATCCTCTTCTGGCTGTATCTTTTGACTTGATTCAGGTTGAGTCAATAATTTTCGGGTTTTTTTTATGACCAGAAATGGATGGTCCCGGGCACACTGTTCCTTTGGTTGCAAATCAGCCAAATAAAATGGAGAACAACAAGTCAGAGGAATGTGAAAGCAGCAGTCGCGTTACAGTATGGTTCGTAAGCATGGACGGTCAGAAAACCGCTATGAGGATGAAAAGGGATGTGCCGCTTGGGAAAGCCTTTGATGCTTATTGCCAGGTAAATGAGATCCCGTGGCGGGATGGCTGTAAGTTTTATTGCAGAGGGAAGCTGATTCATGAAACCCACACACTCGATGATGTTGGCCTTCAAGAAGGAGATGAAGTGCATGTTGTGGTTAATCAAAGGGGCTGTGTTTGTGGCTGCGGCCTAGAACCTGGCCATCTTTTATTGTCTTCTTAAAGGCTGAAGGATCTTCCCGTGGCAGATTGCGAGTAGCCACTCTATGTAAACATGTGATCTTAATTAGTAATTAGTATCGAAATAAGCAGGAAGAATAAGATCTCCGGTAACTTTATGTACTTGTTGGCTACTTGTACAGTTGTTGTACTAGTAGTTCTTACTGTGTTTATTTGTTTTGGTTCATCATGAATCATATGTGCATTTAATAAAGAACCATGGGAGTATTAAATTTTGAGGCCTTCATATGCAAGGTGAAGAAACGATGCGGAATCAGTGTGAGGAAAGTTATAACAATTCAAATCCTAATAATTAGGTAATGTCTCTTTAATTTTTGAAGATTTAATCGTGAAAGAAGTTAACTTCAATCCCATAATTTTCCTCTTAATTCCCAAATAAAATCATCATCATTTCATAAGTGAGAAGCACAATACCAAGAGATAAAATACTAATGCCTGATGATGTAAATGAAGATCATTTCATGCATTGGGTCAATTAACTGATTCAACTTGAACTCCCCAAATGCTCATCGGGAAAAGTGGAACAAATGCAGATGTTTCATCCATTTATTCAATGTAACTCCAAATCATCATCATTCAATCTACTAAACACAAAAGCCCCTTAGGTCAGGTTTGCCCGCTCAATTACCACCCCCCCCAAATATCCATTTATTCTAGACACCGCCCAAGTCACGTATTTTTTTAGCAAATTTGTGCGTTTCCCCAATGCCGGAAATCATGAGACTATAACAAAATGATTCAGAAAGAATTTCATGAAATCAATCCAGTGTCACATGTTTGAAAATATTTGTTTGGTGAAATTTGCATTGAAACATGTTATTATTACGTATTATTGTTATAGGGACTACTATACCATTATTTAATATTCAATATAGAGGTATATTGAAAAAATTTTAAACGGTGACCGTTGATGAATTTTGGCTCCGTCAAAAACGAGTTTTATTAAGAAATATTGATTGATGAAGAGGAAAATATCGATGGCGTATGACACTATTTATGATTTCTGTTTCCAAGTGCTGGAAAAATGTATCTAATAATTAATGGTGTAGATTTATGTGGTTCTGTTGAATACGGTAGAATAGAATATATATATATATATATATATATATATATATTCTAAATGTGGAAGAATCGATGTGAAATTAATCATCATGAAAGTAATATAATAGAAAACTGGGCGCCTGGGTATCCAAATATGTACCACCACCCTTGCTGCAACCAATGGTTGTTGTGTTCATTTGCATGCGCCGGGCAGTCACTTGTCTTCATTTTCATGCGCAAGACAACAACTGCCTATAAAAGGATCATCCACTCCACCGTTTCATACATTGTGTCGACTTACCGTATTCTTTGAACCAGTAACCATCTTGTGTGACTATGGATGAAGAATACAATACTGTCGATTTAATAACTCCTCTGCAAGATATTTGGAAGATAAGAGTTGGGTTAATTCGTGTTTGAAAGCAGCCTCTGTTCTCAAATCCTACAGAGAGCGATAGCATAGAGATGGTTTTAATGGACCATTTGGTTTGTGCCAAACAAGATTAATTATGTCTAAATCCTGCAATCTATTAATTATTGTTGTTAAATGTATATTGTTTGTTGCAGGGAAATAAGATACATGCACCTGTGAAGAGGTCATTGATCGGTAGCTTTTTGGAGGTCATCAATGAAGGATTCTTTAAAGTTATATCTCAATTTGGAGGTCGCTGCGAATAGTGGTAATTTTAAAACAACAAGTCATCCGTACAAAATAAACTTATTGAGGAACACAAAAGTATGCCATTCTGTCGATATCGGAATTAGTCCTTACGGATTTTAGATTCGTGTCTTTTTCTGATTTATTGGCTGGAAAACTTGACGAATCATGGACAATAGGTTAATTAATTATGTTGATCATCGAATTCTTTTTATATTTTTCTTTTTTATGTGCTATTATATATGATTACTAGTTTACAATGGTCTATGACAGATATTATTGAGGAGGTTGTTGCTGTTGGCCATTTGATTAATGGCGATAGAAATGGAAAATCATCACGTCGGGTGGCATTAGAAATGCAGGATTGCAAGTGAGTTAATTTGTTTTGAAAAGATCTACTTCGTATGGAATCATTTGACAGATGATTTTAATTATTTATGTACCTTTTTTGTTTTCTTTTTCTTTGTTGCATAGGGAGGTTAAGGTGACCGTGACATTGTGGGATGAGTACGCACAGAATCTTTAAATTTATTCGACATTAATTTTATATTTGTCCTCCCATTTTAAGCCTGACTGGAAAAAATGTCTTATATATGAATAAGGAGGTTGAAAAGTATACTTCTATGAAATTTTCCAGTGTGATTATAACAGTCGTGTCATTCCGAAAATAATGTACTCCCTCCGTCTCATAATTATTGTCCACTTTGTCCAAAAAATTTTGTCCCAAAATTATTGTCCAATTTGACTTTTTATGGATCAAGTTACACATTTGTCCTTAGTAAAAAGTATTATCCATAAAATCTTAGTGGTTAAACAATTACTTGTGTGGGGGTATATCCGGTTGTTTAAGATAAAATATAGTTAAGTTTGACTAAAAATAAAATCTTTTATTTTAGTAAAACTGGACAATAATTATGGGACGGAGGGAGTAAATAACATGGTAAACTGAGTATCAACTTCACAAACGTAAAGTTGAAGGTATTATATGTTAAACAGTGTTGAAAAATGGTCGAATAGACACTGTAGGAAAATGGAGGCTAATTTAAGTATGTAGTGCATATATTGCATGAGACTTCGATGTGGATGAAAAAAGACAACATAATCATCACTACATGACGTAGGATACCTATTCAATGTTAAATTGAATCACTAAACACACATAAATTATTGGTTCCACATATTTGCCAATCATTTTCAGAGAATCAATATAGACGTTTGTTTAAAGTAGGATTACGATTCAAAGTTAAAGTGAATAAAAAATCAGACCAAAATTATAGATTTTGTTATTACTGCTTTTGTGAATTGGAAAATCATTTTTACAAAATCAATATACCTACCTTACCTTATATATTTTGAGATTCTCCTTTTTAAGTGTTTATATCAATATTATGTATGGCAAAATATTACATTGTTATAATTATTTTTTTTTTTTATCAATGACACCGATCGACACAAAAAAAATAGATGGGGAGTTACACGGGTCTTATCTAGTTCATAGAATACTAACAGCTAAAACAGAAATGTACATATGGTATTCCGTTAGGGTATTGATTCCAATAGCTCGAGTATTTGAACAGACACTTTAAGAATAATAATAAAACAAAACAAAACAAAATTAGTATTAATTCTGTTCCAAAAAAATAGTTCACATTAAATTTTGAGATTTGTATTGTCTTTAGTATAAATTTGAAAATTTAGTGAGTAACATTTTTCTCCTTGGCGCAAGGGAGTCTAAGAATTGATCAGCGTTGAGCTAATAATCGTAGAAAGTGGTCTTCTATTCACATATCGTTTTGATTGGTTTGGCCGTTTCATTTGGGTGTTAATATGAAGTTTGGGTGTTAATAATATGAATACAAACAATAATAAACCTAAAATAGTCATTTACAAGATTTTTTAAAACAGTATACTTAATTTATCGAGTTGATACCTAGAAAATCCCTCTGAAAACTTAAAAAGTCCACTATCAATATCTATCCCACGTACTTATCAATTCTTCTATTTTTGCTATCTATTTTAAACCACCTAATATAAGTCCGATGCGAAATTGGGAGTTAATGTATAGATTTACCATAAAAAGCTTCTAGAGGTATCAATAGATAAGAATAGAGCCATTAAGATTATACTCATAATCTCCTCTTCAGAACATAAGTAATTTTACTATTGAGCGAGCATGCCATTCGCTATTTTTTATATTTGATATTATTATTTTTTGAAAACACCAAAATACTAATCAACCAAATACTAGTACATCTCAATAGACAAAACGATCGGTTTTATCTCTAACATCGTGTCGTGTTTAGTTTGTTTTATTCCCGGCCAATTGCTAATTTTCCTAGCTAGTTCAACCAATAATTAATATGGGCATGGTCTTTTGTTAAATAATTTATCCTAAAAAAATAGTTTACATTAAATTTTCTAAGAGAGACGAAATATATGATATCAAACAAAAACAGATGTAGTTGCATCTCAAAATTGTATTTTACAATTATATGACTTGTGACTGGATATCAACAGGAAATCTAGTCACTAGTCACAACACGAAATCCATATGATGGGAGTGCTTTAACCAAAGAGATCGACTGGTCCCGTGGTCCGGTTCTAATATTTTGAATATCTGCACTTTAAGAATAAAACCCTGCAGATGACTTCTCAAATTCTCCCCCTGGTGTTAATACGTGGAGTGTGTTTGATCAATATTCATTTTGTTTTTATAGTTTCGAATGTTGAGCTCGATTAGCCAATTGTTTCAATCTTTAATGGAAATGACATGATTCCACTGCGTGTATCAATTGCCCAAATAGGCATGATTTTATTTTGATTATGATTATAGACACCACGTATTCTTTGACAAAAAAATTCTAAACATCGGATACACTAAGAGGAGACAGAAAGGTCTAATGAAAGTTTTCCATGCTTCTGAGTAATCAAATAAAACAATTTGAGCACAACTCATAAAAATCCAAATTAGCCATTCACAATTGCTTTGCTGGTGGTGATGAACTGATGATACCCTGGAAAAGATAAATTCGGACAAAATAAGAGATACCAAGGAAAATGGTAATAGTTCTGGTGATTTTAGATGGTAATTCTCAAGAGAAATTAAGGAGGAAAGAACATTCATGATAGCAATTTTTACCTCCGCCGAAGTGAAAGGTCGGGCAAGCCTGTCATTCGTCTCCGCAGTCACTTTAGGCCTTGTTCTGCTTTGCTGCAACTCCGATTCCGATATGTCAAGGGCATTTTTTGTTATTTTAAGAAATTTTGAGGGGCAATTAATCATTAGGACATAATTTGTGGATAACCCAAATACATATAAATAATTAAGACGGTTCTTCAGATGAAATACGATGGACATATATTATTATTTTAAAAAGAAAAATAAATTTATTTATTTATTATGAGGAATAAAGAACTGATTGGTTTGCTCCAAGGAGAGACCTACTCTCGGGTAATTAAGTTACTTTTCTTTCTTTTCTCCGTAGTTTTCTTCTTTTATTTCGTGTGATGTTCAGAGACGAGCAGTGGATTTTACGCATAATGATTCGTTAATT